ACATAGTGCTCTAAACACAACCCAATTGACGCATTCCTCCTTCCCTCCGTCACATACCAGTCAGTGCGCTCTGGTGGAGTGGAAGCTGTTTAAAGCCATCCGCCCCAACGAACTACTCAAACAATCCTGGAACAAAGCTCACCTCAAACACAAGTCACCTAATGTGCTGAAGTGTATTGACCAGGCACGCAATATGACCGCGTGGGTTGTCAAGTGTTTGTTGCTCAGAGATACCTGTAAAGACCGCCAAAAGACTCTCAAGTGGTTCATCAAGCTTGCCTGGGTATGTGTGGGTGGGTGGTCCATCTATGTGTCTGGGTGTGTGTGTGTATGTGTAAGTATGTATATATGTGCATGTGTTTTACGTATTTGTATTTCCGAATATATATATATATATATATTATATATATATATATGTGTGTGTGTGTATGTGTGCGTGGGTGTGTGTGTGTGTGTGTGTGTGTGTGTGTGTGTGTGTGTGTGTATATGTATATGTATTTTATTGTATATATATATATATAGTTATATTTACATATATACATATATATATATTTCCATTACATTTATATATAAATATAAACATACGAATACAGGAAAACCGCCGAATTTGCGTATAGGTGACATTACGGGACCAATGCGCTGTCCCACAGTGCACTCCAAACTGCCGCAGATGGATGCGACAACATATGCGCAACTGCTGCAACCGCCACAGTCGCTACTGACTCTCTCCAGCCTCAGTGCCATGCGCTCAGTCCAAAGGTATTAAAACCATGCCTACAATGTATATATATGTATATGTGTGTGTGTGTAAGTGTGTGAAAGTGTGTGTGTATATGTGTGCGTGTGTGTGTGTGTGTTTGTGTGTTTGTGTGTTTGAATATATATATGTGATATATTTATAAGGATATATATATATGTGTGTGTGTGTGTGTGTGTGTGTACATATATATACTATATATATGTGTGAATATATATATATATATATAATATATATTATATACATATATATATATATATATATATATTATTATATATATATATATGCGTCTGTATCTGTGTATGTGTATGTGTATGTGTCTGTCAGACTCTGTGTCCGTTTGAATATGGGTACATCTGTGTATATATGTGTGTTCATGCGTATGACACCTATACCTATGAACTACGGATGGATGCGTTCTCGCATAAGCGATCGCGGCAACCGCCAGAGTGTCGTTTGACCTCCTCTGATGAGAGTGGTGTGCCATTGCACTGCAATTGAACCACGTGTGCGTGTAGATGTGTGTGTGTCCCGGTGAATGTTCCGCACTGGGCTTAGGGTTTTAGGGCTTATGCATATCCGGCTTTTATTATTCCTGCGTGTGTGCTCAGGTGTGTGCGATGGATCATGTCTCGTCAAAAGTCACATGTGTCGGCGAGAAAGCCCAGTCAAAGTATACACACTCGTGTTACCGTCATATGCAATGACTTTGTGCCTACCCACTATAACTACCTACCATGAACAAAATCTCAATATCCAACCTATTCATTGTGCTGCTTTACTGTCAATACTAACTTTAAAAACTTTTTTTAGGGACTCGACAATAGTCTCCACCGAGTCGTGGATTAGCCATAAGAGCAGTAACAGTGCACAAGCCTTCCGATCACCCTCTTTTAAACACGACACAAATGACAGAGGTGTGTATCTA